TACTCACTACGGCTACAATCATTATAGCTCTCCAGACCAGTCATTATCATTCTGTTACAATGAGACCGTTCTTTGTGTAGGCCTTGGCGGATCATTTCCATGCATGCGCCCAGATACGGCGGATACTGCTCGAAATGTTGGCATGCTTTGCTCGAACAGGCTTGAAATTGGCAGAACCATCAACTCTTTCGTTGGACATTTCCTCGCATTCTGCACGTTCTTATCCATAATAATGTACATTTATACTTACCAAACGTGAATTACACACTCGAGAAAAGTACTTTTTCTGTCGAATCATCCACCCAGGGCTATCGCTAAGTCCATTCAGCAGTGACGTTGCATATCTTGACAAGTAATTAGTTGTCAAACTACTGTACTTTAAAAATAGCAAAAGAAACTGACACGGCCCCGACGCCCCGACGGGCGACGGCCCGGTTCTGAGTCCCCATTCCAGCATTCAAGTGCAAAAATAATGTTGGTATTATCACAGCCCGTACAGTTCAGGTACTAGTACAGTCATGTACTAGGCAACTGGTTGGTCTTCGGTCCCAACGATCATGCAAGTAGACTATCTGTTAGTGTTAGCGTTACATACTCCTTTCCACTGATCATGAGGCGATACTGCCCTGTTGCCTTGACACCCGGACACAGGCAGTGGCCAATCAAAATTGAACTCGCTACGCAACACACAAACTATTGGGCTTGTTGCCTTGCGAGTTGCGTGTCCTACCCGGCCTCCTTTCCGATGGTACGGTCATTTTTCAAAGCTTTTGTCCGAGGGGACGGGTCAAACTAACTTGTGCAGGTCCGAGTCTTTATGTCTTGATTTGTTTGAGATGGCAACTGAGCTCTCTGATCAGCCAGCGCTAATCGATGATGTGCGAGATCATGCAGTGTGCGCGGTTAGCTGTGTTTCTTGTCACGTTGATAGCGCTACAGTCGCCAGCAGCCGTCTCAAGCTACTCAGGTGTTTGCATTCAATGTGCATTACTTGCCTCAAGGACAATGTCCGCAAAGATGGCACCGTGACATGTTTCAAATGCTTAGACGTAGGCGGCTCAGCTCTTCCTGGCGCTAGACTAGAAGATTCACTCGTGGACTGGCCAACATCGGACGCCAACGGAGGACCGAAATCCAGCGACCCATTGATTCAGAACCCAGAGGCGCAGGCCATATGCCAGAATTCCGACTGCGACGGCGCCTTTGAGCCAGCCGTTTCGGTGTGTCTTGACTGTGGGATGCAATTGTGTGATGGCCATGAAAAACTTCATGTGAAGCGAAAGAGGAGTTCTCTCGAACACAGAGTGATACCTATAACTGAAGCATCATGCAGGAAGTCAGAGACTGTCTACAAACCCATGTGTTGCCTGCATCTACAATTACCAGTGACATCACACTGCAGCAAATGTAAGATGCTGGCGTGCGAACGATGTCATGATCGATTTCACCGGGATTGCTCTGATGGAGTTGAGGACATTCAGACGGCTGCAGAGGCAAAGCGGGAGGACTGGAAGGCACGACTAAGCGCTTCCAGTGATGCCTGGAGGGAGAAACTCAGCAGCACACGGAGCAGCATTGACACATACACTAATGATATCAATGATAAAGTGGAGGAATTATCGGTGAAAATCAATGCCGACTTTGAGCAGCACATCAAGAACATACGCAAGCGACAGCAAAAGGTCTTGGACGACCTAGATGCGGCCCGTTGGAAAGCACTGCATTGTTTGGAGAAGCAATCAGAGATCGTTGACGCAAAGATGTATCAGCTGGATAGCTGTGAACATCTAGTGCGAAACCTTGGCGACAGCGGCCTACTAGCAGCAGAGAATATTCTGGACACACACATTGGAGATATCGTCAACAGGAAGCCCGACTTCCTCCCCAACAAAGAGGACTATAGCGTTCCGTTACAAGTAGCATACACAAAGTTCGCTGATGATGAGTGCAGCTATGTGTCCGACCTTGGTCGATTGATCAATGCTGACGACTTCACTTCGGATACACGTGCTGGGAAGGAGAAGGCGGTGGTAATCCATCCCGCACTTGACCCTGACCCTTGGATTTCGGCAATTCACCGTCATGGGGCGTCAGGTTCTATCAGTGACCATGGATTACATGTAGACTCCACTTCATCGGCATTGCTACCAGTTTCCACATTAGGCAGCTATTGTCATGGTATTGTTCAGTGTTCCGTCAAAGTTCGTGGACGTCTTTTCCTCGGTGTTGCAGAGGAAAGGTGCACAGCTGGCAATCCATTCCTTGGGTGGTTCTCTAGGGAAAACAATCAAGCATGTGCTGTCGGCAGAATCGATAAGCTTAGTCAGCCATGGAGACCCGGTGATGTGATTGTCTTGCGTCTGGACTGCCACCAGCACAGACTGACAGGAACAAATGAGAGGACTGGCTGCAGTGACACAATCGTGGTGCCTCAGGGTCGGCTCTGTTTCGCTGCTAAAATGACCAAGAAGTCACAAATCAAGTTTTTGAGGTGAAACGAAGTCAGTAGCAGTAACGCTCTGTGCATATTGGGAACTGGCACCACATTCCCAGACCTCTGCATTCATGGAATTACTCACTTCTTTCCTTTCTGTAACACATCCAACTTCCTCAGATCCCATGTTTTGTTGGCTATACATGTACATGTACAAAAGAACCCGGACGACTTTGAGCTTTGTTGGGTACGTACATGTGCGTGTCTTATACCTTTTGAAAATAAGTAGCCAGTACTTTCCAAGAACCGTGTTTTTCTTGGAGATGTCTCAGCTTGTTCACGACTTTTAATCTGGTCTTTATTATCATGCTGCCTCTTCCTGTTCTTGTGTCAGAGTTTTTGGTTGCGATAGTTGGATTTTCCAATATACCGCAAGTAATTGTGTCTCAATGTTGGCTTCTTGTTGGCTTCTATGCGCCAGTTTCACGGATCCTATACTATCATCCTGAACATTGCTGAGCCTATCATGATAAATGTGTCAATATGCAATGCTTCCATGCTATTTCTCCACCATACGATTATCCTAAATGTGCTGTAAGGCTTGAACTTGCGCGACCACTGCATGAATTTCGAACAGTCTCGAATGGAGCCGAGTTTTTTTCGCCACCAGCTTTCTTCCTCGCCTTACTAAAGTGCTATGCGTTTGTCATCTTTGTCCCTTCTCCCGGTGTACCGGTATATTCTTTGTGAATAGTAGTAGTGTTAACGTATGCCATTTAGTGAGTGTTTTCAGACACGAAACTTCGAGTAACGGCAAGAAAGGACCTGGTTGCACGGTTGCTATTTGTGAGTTGACATAATCATGTGTGTGTGTGTGTGTGTGTGTGTGTGTGTGTGTGTGCTTGGCCGTTTGTCTGTTTGTGTGTGTTGCAAGTAGGAACCCAGAGAGATTATAATATAACCATGTCCTCTTAGCTGGACACGACATACATGGCGCTGCAAGCATGTTAAGTTCTAAACCAGACAGCTGAGGGGGTAAAAGGCCGGGGCAAGTGTGTGGGAACCCTACTTTAGGCCGGTAGTACCACACGATATATGCGGTACCCGTATCCTTGTCCGGTGGTTACCTCATTGTCTAGTTTCACATTGCTAGAGACACAACCCCTGCCCCATGCCATTGTCAAAAGACTTTTATGGAGGGAACACCGAGTTTGGCAAGGAGTCCAAGGGCCCTTGGCTACCCCGGAGCAGAGAGCGGTATGCTTCATTTAAAAATTTGCATGCATTTCTGAGTTCAACAAACTGCATGTAGCTAAATCGTATCGAGTTTGATTAGTTCCCTTGCCGGAAAGACCATACGAATTCATCGTCTAACTTGCCCGAAAACCGGGGTTTTAGCACCGTGTTACCTGTTCAGGAAAACGTAATCTACCGGTCAGTGTCCAGGAGTCTGTCCTTGATCAGGCGAGCAGACACTTTACCAGCGGTGTCCAACAATCTGATGCACAGCCAGATGTCACTAGGTTGCAGGTCTCCTTTCTTGGGCAGTGGAAATACACTGTACTTGAGCATTTCCCAGGTCACAGGAAACAGAACCACTTTACCACACATCCAGCACCAATATGTAGAAACAATTGGGCATGGAGGGAGCAAGATAGCGAGTCGGAGTGACTAACAATGGCAGCGACATGTGTCTAGAACGCAACACAATGCAGGGAGAACGTCAAACTACGGTGCAAAATCGTGAACGAATAAGGAATAACCGATGCCTGTGGAATGATAACCGTTGTGAGTCTGTGAGTGTGAGACTGTACGTGGGAGTCTTTCATCGCTACCAGCAGGAGTTGCTAAGCTACCTATGACCATGGTGACTGTGTGTGGGTAACTAACGCCTAACCAACTACATGACATTGTAATAAATTTGTAGTATTACTATTAGCGATGCCACGGTAGAAGCCATAGCAACTTGTGCTGGGATTGCACCTTTCAATAGCTTGCAAGCTGCTGACGCACAAAGGCATAGAAGTAAGTTCGAGCATTGAATTACCACCCCTCCCCCCCCCCCCCCCCCCTCTTCCATGACGACATGCTCACCTATAAATTTTATAAAAATTAATACCGTGTTGCACATGCTCTAGACTAGAGAGCAGAGTGGCAAGTCTGTGCAGCACCAAACCAGTACCAGCATACTTCCCACGAACTCGCACACCTGTCCACAGGCACACATACTTTTTACTTTTTAACAATAATAATGTCGAGCCAATACTGGCAATAGCCCTGAACTCACAGCAAGGTTAATGGTATCAGTAAAACTAGTTGAGAGAAGCATGGTATTCAGTAGGGAAACAGTGAGGGTAGAGGGCGATTGATTACATGATAAAAAAAGTTTAAACCGCAGTGATAAAGCAAGTCACTGTAGGCCTGCATGAGAGAGAGAGAGACACGCACCACAACATCGGTTGCTGTGACAAAGCGGACATGACGGTAGCACAAACAAAGCTGGGGTATATACATGTAAATGTATACTATATACAACATCAACCACACAGACAAGGGACACTTGGTATCAACTATTCAACGAGCACCAATGATCAAATTCACATGTACCACAATAATAGAAAGGAATTTATGTGCAAAATATCGATATGAATCAAAAGGTCTCGTGGCTAAAATGATCTCGCACAAATCATCAGGTGTGCTACATAAAACGCTCTCTCTCTCGCTCTCAAATGGGTCAGGTATCTCCTGACGAATGTAAAACTGCACCACTTATAGAAAATCCAGAGTAGTGAAATTCATAAACAAGATTGTGGCCTCGAGTTGTACTTGATCAATAGATGATACACTTGTACACTATGCACAAACACTCACATCGAACGCATTGGCCTGTTGTCAAGGATCAACCTGTGCTCTATGCATAGAGTTACACTAGGACACTTGGTTCATCTGTTCGAAAATGAATTATAAAATAGCAATATTAAATGAATGAAAATCAATGTGAGTGTGTTTGCGTGTATGTGTGTGTGTGTGCGTGTGTCCTATATGGTGCAGTGGTATGGGCAGCAAATTCTAATCGAGAGGTTGCGGGTTAGATTCCCAACGATTGTGGTCGCACATGTCTTTCTTCTCTTCCTCAGACTCCTCCTGACTTTTCTTTCATAATCCTGGGTGGTTACCAACAGCCAGTGCATGCCGGAGTATGTGGTGTGATGTGTGTGTGGGAAAAAATGAAAAGAGACCAAAAAATAGGGATTCACTGGCCAGAAAACCCACTTCATGGCTGTGTGGTGTAGACCAGGCTGAATAGTGGCAGTCAATTCTTCAGCCTTGCAAGCCGTTTAATGGTGAAATCCCAGCAAAAGTTGCCGTGGCTTCTGCTGTAGCATCGTTATCATCGCCTCTGGCGATGGGCGTCAAATGGTCAAAATGGGGTGAGAGAGAGAGAGAGAGAGAGAGCAAGAGAAAGAGAGAGAGAGAGATTCCGAGACCAAACAACCGAATGGACCCATCATGACATCCTCACTGTATAGCGGATGGAGATTGATCTTCCCATTTGCTCGGGTAGACTTGCATAACAGTCATTTGACCGTCGGCCGGGTACTCTGCGACGAGTTGACGTGGCTGGGAGACGATCGACACAGGTGTAACGACCGAAGTAGCAGGCGGCACAACAGCCGATGGTGCAATGACAATCCTGGTCATGGGTGGCAAGGTTGTGTAGACCGGTGACGGGGCTGCTTGGTACACCAGCTGCGGCGTGCCTGACATTGGCGAAACAACCGTCACAGGTGACAAGGGTAGCGTGTGAGGTGGCGGTGGTGCCATTGGGGATCTTGCCTGAACATAGCATGCACACACATGCACACACACACACACATACGCACACACACACACACATACGCGCACACACACACACACACACACACACACACACACACACACACACACACACACACACACACACACACACACACACATACACACACACACACACAATGCCACAGCAGCTTCAGGATCAGTACTTGGGAATGCTTGCTAGATCTCATGCTCCAGAACATCAAGTTTTCTTGACTTTATCTGTGCAGTGAACTCCCTCCTTCATACTTCAGAGTCATACCGCTGTTGCACCCTCAAGAGCCTAGAATTCGGACACCACGCCTGACATTGATGTCTCTAACATGCTGCACATTGGTGTCGAAAGGTACTTCAGGATGGTACGTACAGTCAGCCATTGTTTTTAGATGCTGGGGGGTTCAATATCTAGAGGCAATAAAGTTAATCAGTGCATTCCATTAAAAATGGCAACCGGCGCCGAGAAATGACGCTGCCAATCCTGTAGTGACTATAGTGTGTTCGACCCACAATCCCACAATCCCACAATCCCACAATCCCACAATCCCACAATCCCACAATCCCACAATCCCACAATCCCACAATCCCAACCTCCTGAACAGTGACTATAGTGTGTTCGACCCACAATCCCAACCTCCTGAACAGTGACTATAGTGTGTTCGACCCACAATCCCAACCTCCTGAACAGTGACTATAGTGTGTTCGACCCACAATCCCAACCTCCTGAACTGCAATAACTAATTGAAGGTGCATTGTATATTGATTGGTTTGAGGTTTTTCATCTTGGCCATCAAAGAGGAATCCCATCATATGGATATTATCGCGAACTAGACTTCATTGCCGGGGACAAAGCACCCGGTCCGGAAGGTCCGGCCATTGGTCATACAAGTCTATACTCATAGGACCTTATTTCGAAAAACCCGCCCAATTCGTGCGAAGCGGGTTTTTCATCAAAATTGTTCATTTCCGGTCAGAGTATCCCATTTGGCCGGATCACCTGAAATACTGGTGCTGCGGGCCTGGTTGCAATAGACATGGCCTGTCACTCTGAGCTCTGCCCATGATACCTAAAAAAATGTTCATTTCCGGTCAGAGTATCCCATTTGGCCGGATCACCTGAAATACTGGTGCTGCGGGCCTGGTTGCAATAGACATGGCCTGTCACTCTGAGCTCTGCCCATGATACCTAAAAAAATGTTCATTTCCGGTCAGAGTATCCCATTTGGCCGGATCACCTGAAATACTGGTGCTGCGGGCCTGGTTGCAATAGACATGGCCCGTCACTCTGAGCTCTGCCCATGATACCTAAGCAGGGGGATGGGACAGCTAGCTCTGCCCATGATACCTAAGCAGGGGGATGGGACAGCTAGCTCTGCCCATGATACCTAAGCAGGGGGATGGGACAGCTAGCTCTGCCCATGATACCTAAGCAGGGGGATGGGACAGCTAGCTCTGCCCATGATACCTAAGCAGGGGGATGGGACAGCTAGCTATTCGAGGATCAAGTGAACACTATAGGTACAAGTGGCTCCTTACCTGCTCACTACTACGGCGACGATGGAATTTTCTTGGATCTGATGCTGGGTACGGGCGATAGCGGCCTATTCTGCAAGGCATGTCTTGCCCCGTTGGTGAGTGCTGCGCCGATGGAGGTGTACAGCGCGCCGATGCTACGCCACTCTCGCCTCCGCTGGCGCTTGGCCTGTCGGAGCTGGCCAGCGCATCGGAGGCGTTGCTGGTGTCTCCGCGATCGCTGGCATCCAACATGTCACCGTCCACCATCATGCCGTGAGTCGAGCTGGTGCTGCTGCGGCGGATAACAATGTCCTCCCACGGGATCTTCTCCTGCTCTCGGCGCGGAGAGGGAGTCATGTGACCTGGCTTGAAGCTAGCCAAGGACTGCAGCACACTCTCCGAGAAGCAGTAGCAATATCGCTGACCTGGAATCTGAGTAGCATGAAATCACAATGAGCAGCATAGAATAGCAAAGGAATTGAATTCCAGGAATCGCACTGACCCTCCTCCCAAATTGATCAGATACTAGAGCCATATTAAAACTGGTTACATGATACGTGACATCATAAGTTACAAGATATTGGTAGTGACTTCGACGATTATTTCATAGGAAAGTTGGTTGTCAAGTGTCAAGTCAAGTCCTCGGAAAACACAATCTACAGTGCGGGGAGCAACCAACTTTCCATAGTAAATTACATCATACTGAGATAATTATTGTAATTTTCAGCAAAGAGACCACTTGGATGAAAGATGGTGTGTGTAAGGTTTTTCAGGTAATGAAGTGGCTGCAGTGGAGTTTGCGCACATTAAGAAAAGTAACATCATAGTTTACATTATTGGTTACATCATAGTTTACATCATCAGTTACATCATAGATTACATCATGGGTTACATCATGGGTTACATCACAGGTTACATCATAAGCCTTTCAATTATTATTCTCTCTCCAATCGTTCTCCCTCGCAACGATCCAAGACTAGAAACGTCTCCCATCTGCCCTGCTACTCGACCTTCCCACGCAGAATGGAATGCAGGCACTCAAGGAAGGCGCCTACAAGTCTCTCCGCAGTCGAGATTGACATTCAGCCACTGATGCCCTCTGAACCCTCCCTGAACACCCTCTCCACTTGCACCCTGGCTCCCCCTCTTCCTGTATTACACACATGTATCACCTTTCCATTTTTTACCCTCTAGGCAATGTACTGTCCCCCCCCCCCCCCCCAGGGGGCGCGCCATACCCTCGTGCCTAAAAACGAAGTTCAAGGTGATATTTGATGCTGCATCTGACATGACCAAGCTACAGGATCGTCCGTCTCCTGTGGTTCCAAGACAGACAGGCATACAGACCCAACGTAGCAATGTCCCAGCTGCTATACACATGTGGAATACTGGAGAAGGTCCGTCTTCATTCCATTCCTGGATACGCTAATATCACAGTTGGCTGGACGCTTCAGCTCCATGTCGAAGAATGCTGTCCAGGCTTTGCTTCTGATGCCAACGAATCTCGAGAAACTAACTGAAAGTGGCATTAGCGACCTGCGTGAGGCATACGGATCGGATCTGCCTGACGAGAGCTCTCTCCTTGCAGAGATTGAGCGTTGGAAAGTCACGTGGAGTGGATTTCCAACTGATGGCCTGCCAGTGTCACTGACAGATGTTCTTGCTCACCATGTCAATCACCATTCCTATCTCAACATCTCGAGGATCCTTCACCTTCACCTCGTCATCCCCGTCCCATGTGCCAGTGTTGAGCGAGCCAACTCATCTTGGAAGTTTATAAAGACTGTCTTGCGCAGCACAATGGCCCGGTCACGAGTCAATGCCCTCCTCCTTCTGTATGTCCATCGTTCTATTTCTCTGAATCATGAAGCTGTGGCGGATCGGTTCGCCGCATTCTTCTCCTGAATCCCCTATCACAACAAGCTACTCTACGTATGCCTCCAATCCGGTCTGAGCCCCCCCCCCCCCCCCCCCCCCGACGCCCTGTGCTGGCCAATGCAGTGATGATCTCTAGATTTTTGTTAAGACGTGCGTTCTGTATTTTCCTGCTGTGCAACAATGAATGTGATTCGACACCTGCCTGCTCTTACAGCATACTGTAATTTCACAAATTTTTGGTGCACTTCTATTTTCGGTACTTTCGGTGCATCCGTTTCATACCTAAAATTTCAATACAGTCAACTTCGCTAATAACGACTGCGGATATAACGACAATTCGCGAACAGCGACAGAATTTCCATGCCCAGAGCAAAGTCCCATTCCACTGTAATACATATAATGAGACTTCGGGTATAACGACACTTCGCGAATAAGGACACCTTTTTGATGCCCCGCCGAGTGTCGTTGTAAGCGAAGTTGACTGTACACTGAACAAACACTAACACACATAACCCAATAGGGAACTGCTTCTCTGTACCTAAAATTTCTGTTCACGTAACCTGGCCTTTTTCCCTCATACCGAAAATATTGAGCACCCAAAATTAGAGTGCCTCACGTGGCCACATACAGGTAGAAAACTGCTGCAAGAATATCACTACTTGATATTGTTCACTGTCGTCATGTCACTGTATAATGCTAGAGTATTCGGAGTAACTTCTCTGCTCTTGATATTCATTTCGAATTGCTGCGACTGAAAGTGCTCCACATGCCGTTTGCGTCGTACATCCTTTGGTTGTATTGGTGTAGAATTTTTATTTTTATTCACCCTGAGCCTCGGTCTTCACCCTCACAGCTTTCCATAAAATTAATACAGAATGATACTGGATTCTGGCTGGCATGCAAGTGATTGTCATAATCAACATAGTGCACGAACTGTAAATACTGTACCACATCAGCTGTGACGTCTGACAAACAAATCAAATAATGATGTGTGTGAGTGGGTAGTACGGTACTCATGTAGTAATACTAGTATCAATGCTGTCTGGATGGGGGGGGGGGGGCGCAACCCCCCCCCCCCCCCTCTCGTCAAATCCTGTTCACGCCCCATTTTCCCAACCCCTGTGTCTACTCCTCCCCACCGGTTGGTGCACTGAAGTGTCGCTGAAGCCGAGGCCTCAGGTCGGCAGAGATGCTCCAGTTCCACCACCACAGTTGCGACTGCAGCCACCTCTATCATGCAGTATTCTGTTCTCGAGGTTCGTGGTTTCTCGAAAAGAAAAAAAAGATAGGGTGCGTTGCTTTGTACGCGGGAGCTCTCACTCCTCTTGTCGACTTGACTTGACATACTCGATTGACCGACTCATTTCACTAGCCTAATCAAGCTCAACGGATGAGGGGTGAATTCTTCAAAACTTTGTGTACCCAGCAGCGTGAGTTCTTGCAGGCTTCATGAGTAAAATGTTCCGCATGGACTTCTCCTGTGCTCTGAAGGGTGGGGGGGGGGGAGTCAGTCAAGTGTGCCAAGATTGCAGGAAACGTGTGAGCTTCCATACAGGGAGCAACACAAACTTCCTCCATTATCATAAATCGTATTTTCTTGAATTTGGGCCGGCATTTCAATACCGCCTGTCTGAAATACGCGCCACATCATTTCAGGGCTTTTGTGTGGATTTTCTTAACATTACGTGAAATTTTAGGGCTCGCAAATTGCTAAGTTCCAAGGCCAGTGTTGCCGAAAATACGGTGTTTTGTAAAATAGATGAAAAAACACATGGAAACGAGTTATGAAGCAACTATCCACGAATGTAACAAGATAATAAGCGGTCAGTACGTGCGATAACAGGGCACAAAGCTGACAGGCTACTGAGACATTCAGCGACCTAAGACCCAGCTCCAACACATCTCCAGTGCGCAAACCAACAGTAGTCGGTAGACTCTAACGCATAACTTGTACCCCGCCGTTTTCAATGTTTCCAATTAATCCAGAAAGTGGTGAAAACGATTTCCAAGGCAGTTTTGACTGTACTCCCAGGGTTTCTTTAAGTTGTTCTCTATGGATCAAGCTGCATAGCTCTTTAAAAAATGGCTCACAGTGTGTTTTTGCACGGTAAGCACTGAAAACAACCTAAGCATGCGAAGACATTGTTTTTCGGCAGAAGTGACCACGGACAGAGACAGAGAGATGGTGGACTTCATGATAGGTACGCAGTAAGACAAAACTGAGAGACCACGAGGGATGCAGATAGACTCGCACACACATAATGATCAGTTTCCTTAGGAGCCTTACGGGCGAACAATACAGAAACCAGACCTAGCTAGTGTGATCTGCAATACGGTCACCAACAGTTACCGACGACCACTAACCTTTACCTTTTCCATAACTCCCTTGTCGTAGTAGTAGCGCATTGCACGGCTCATTTTGTCGTAGTTCATCCCGGTTTTGTTCTTACGCAGGCCCCACAGGCGTGACACCTCGTCTGGCTGGAGAAGTTTGAACTCGCCGCGCCTGTCCTTGGTCCACGCGATCATATCCGCGTACTGCGCACCCGACGTCAGCAGCTCGAATAGGAACTGCCACAGCTGAATTTGCTGACCTCCTTCAACAGCAGGCGAAGAAACAACACAGAATCGTGGCCCGGGTTGGTTTCTCTGTTAGCTCAACCATAGGCAAACCTGGGCAAGGTGACATTTGTTTGCATTGTGTGCTCTGTTCTTGGAATGTCGTGCTTGCTTGACAACTCAAGCTTCTTTTTGGGGGGGGGGGGGGAGGGTTCTTCATGTGGGAGCAAGTGTTGAAAAGGCCACCACATCAAAATTGCTCATAACAGTTTTGGTGTATATTTTCCCTACAATCAAGAGTGATTTTCATTCATCATAAATCCGGGGAGAAGCGAGGGGTGCAGTCAAAGTGGTTCCCGGATGACTGGACTATTCATGCACGGTCTCTGCGCATGGCAGTGTTGCACCGTTCGGTGACAGCATTGGCTCGACGACCTGGTTTCCAGCCATACTATGAAACAGTGCGCCTATGTCCCTAACATTTGTAGACTCAGTGCACCCACTAGTGATAGTAGTGTAGAGTGACAGGGCTAGTAAGCTGCTGCATTAGCACAATGCATGTGTTCTACCGTAGGGCGCGTATGCATGCTTCCTTGCAAATTACCCTTACGAGTGGAAATTCCCTCTGGCCGCGGTTGCGGTGGAGCGATGAATGGCGGGAACGGTGTTGTTTTCGGCGTGACAGTGGCTACGTCGCTGCTTGCTTGGCGTGACTGGCGACGCTGCGGCTCACCGATGATTTCAGCTTTGATCTGATCGAGCTTTTCTTGCGGCAGAGCCCGGACGGCTCGGATGAGCCCCTCGCTTGTTTTGATACACCTCGTCTGATAGGGTGACATGGGGTTTATTCCAATTGGGTGGTAGGACATAGGTTGGTAAGTAGGAGACGACGCTAGCGTGGCCGTGGGTGAATGCTGTACGAGGTAAGGCTGTGACGGGGTAATATTTGGTGACGTGCTGCCACGGCCACTTGGGCGCAGCACCTGCGAGGAACGGGGCGACGGGTTGGCATACTCGACTGATGAACCATACTCCTGTGCAGAATGCTGTGCAGGCACAGTGATAACACACACACACACACACATACACACACACACACACACACACGCATGCACACACGGATTGCACGCACACAAAACTTACATACACGCACGTACACACAAAAAACGCACACACACACACACACACACACACACACGCACATCAAGACCAAAAGCATACAGTTCTTTGTGTCTGTCTGTCCAACAGTAGGGAATCGTAGACGCATATTCCCACGTACAAGACACAGCAACAACACACAGCTTTCACAACGCTATCACTCACATGGGCACTTGGAGACCTCAACTTGCCATGATGCCTCGACAGCTTGAAAGACTTGCCATGATGCCTCTTGGAATCTGAGAGTATCGCAAGACACACACACACCACCACATAGGCACACACAAGCACGCATGAACACACATACACACAGACACACACACACAGACACACACACATTGGACCTTGGAGACACCGCCATATTCTGGCTATGCGGACCCCAAGGGGGTTCAGCAGGTTCGTAACAGTAGGGGGGGGGGGGGATGACGGGATATGTCCTGTGGGCTACTGAAACGCCGACCACAATTTCCACGGATGCAGAAGGAGCTACGGTCTGTGTCGGTTGCTCTGGCTGAGCCACGGCTGCACTTGTTTGTGACACTTCATGCCTCGGTGCGACAGCACTATCACACTCACACCCAGTGATTGTGTACTAGTACTATGCTTTAAGTATCACACTCGCCCCCAGGGAGTGTGTACAAATACTATGCTTAGTCGACTATTCGTGTACTAGTTAACGTGCATTGTCGGTCTGCACTGTGGCAAGCTCAATGAATTATACAAACGAAATCAGATGCAGTTCACGGAGTGATATTGCATGGCTGACATTTTGACTGTAATACCAAGCGAAGAACAAGAGCAAACAGCAGAGCAACCAGAACAAAACTTGAAAAGGGCGAAAGGTCTCGTTCACATGGTTCGGGGAGCTACGTGCATACCACATACATGTACGCATTAGTCTCCTTCCTCACGTTTCTTTTCTGATAATTATACTCGCATGTAAATGTTGGAAATGCGCAATATTTGCTCACGTCCCGGGTGGTGATGAGGACTCAATTACTATCGATTCGGCGTGTTCTTAGGTAACCGACCTGCCTATTTGACCACTGTAAGCAATACGGAGTGCTCAGAAGCCAACTTGTGTGCCAACCAATTTCAAATATGATTCCCGAACCAGCCCGGGATTGCTCTCTGAATGCGAGGTGCATGTCAAATTTCCACAGAAGTTCCTCTCACCGTCCATCCAGTCAACTAAATCTACTATGGGAAGAGTAATGTTGCTGGGGTGCACTCAATACAATAAGGCACCAATGCTGCTTGCTGTGGCATTCTCTGTCAAACCAGGGTCTACCAGTGATATACCAAGTCATGCATGCACGGAAACGTGCTAACGTGCTAGTCGGTTTGTTGTGACGAGGTTAATGTTTCCAAATTATGTTGATCTCATGGGTCAAGGATCTTATTAGCTTGTTGTGACATGGCATGAGGACTCATCTCGTCTCTAAACAATGAGACAGCCTATTACTATTGCCGAACGTTTAGGCCCTCCAGAAATGAAACCAATCCAATAGCCTCTTAAAGCTCAAAGCCGTATCAGCTCTGACGGAAGCTGCGCAAATGTTCTGATTGTCTTTCGCGCTGCTTTCATATCTACATCTGTGCCATTTTACAGGTCGCGGTGGGTTGGGACTAAGGGATTGATCCTGCCTGGGAACTCGTCAAGGACAACATTCCTGCACGTAGGCGGCCCACACAGCCGACGAATGCACCTCAAACAAATGCCGCCAAATGAATGTGAACAATCCAGCAAACCCACATGCCGTCTGATTTTGTGCACAGGTAGCACAAAATTGAAAAGTTATCAGTTCAGGTGGGAGGAGCTGCGAAAACAAAGGATTCAAAAGTGCCACTTAGAACGCACGTGTCCTTGCCATGGGACAGTGTGCGGCTCGAACACATTTGCAAAATTATTATCTTTTCCATTCTCCATAGGAAATAAGAAATAACTTACGAACACATTTCGGACACCCCCGACAGTTACGGCGATGCCTGACTTTAGCACAGGCCGGGCATTGGCAGTTGAGCGGATGCCGTGTTTCAGCACAGGCCGGACAGTCGCAATCCCGAGGATGTTGGCTGGCGCGCTCCGGTGGTGGCAAGCTCTCCTCAGGGGGAGGCATTGACGGCCGTACGTGCTCGTCATCGAAGTAGTTCCTCGCCACGTGTGGCCGACTAGGGATGAGTGGAGGCATTGAAGGCACACTCTCCTCGTCACTCTCGTGCTCCATTGGTTGCTCCCTGTGATCGTATCCAGCATGATGTAACACCCTTTCCACGCCGCCGTTGGACTCATCAAAATGGGTTTCAGGCGGGTACACGAATTCTGCAAGGAGATAGCACAAGAGAAAAGCTATGGTCAAGGTGTGACTCAAGTGGGCTCTGCTCACGACAAGATGATTTAATCCCCAATGAGCTAGGGCTTCATCAACAACGTATCAGCTGACGCTGTAGCCAACACCAAGTCTGAACGAAGGCTCCGCTTGTTAGATTGATTTCTTTCCTACGTTGAATAGCAGGCCACTGTGTATTATTTCAGCAGTAAATGTAGTAAGGATCTTAACACAACAGGTAAATGCTTTAAATCAATAACTACTGGACACAGTGTATGATTATGAGATGACCGGCAATGTAGAGCAACTCAAGAAAAACAAGATGCTTGATGGGGTCAGGAAATCCGGACTACAACCTACTGTGCTGCATACCATGCGCACAGCCCGGCATCACCATGACATAGCATTAGGTGCATCCTTCCACAAATACACAACCACCATAATATACAAGCACACACACACAAACACACACACACACACACACACACACACACACATACTGACGCTGTACACAGCATGGCTTTGCAATCAGCCACTGGATAATGCCTGACACATGACTTTGCAGATTATCACATTGTATGAGACAAGACAAAGCATAGCAAAATTTGCGGCAAGTGAGGTTGCTCCTAGATTGAGTGAATGTCTAATTAGCCTACGATCCTGCTCTACTTGTATGTAAGCATGTCCATTTGCACTCAGTCCATTGGCTTTTCAGCTGCACTTTTAATGCATTGTCAGCTGCTACTCCGTAAAAAGGAAGTAAAGAAGTGGAGGGGCAAGAAAAGTACGATGCAGCTTGATGCCCATCCTTTATCACAGAAAATGTAGCCCTCTGATTTGCCACTGGACAGTGCAGAGCTGAGTCACTACATGATATTGAACTGCTTGCACAACAATCATGTCTAATTAGCTTAGGCTTCACATGGGTGGAATGGAAATCCTCCATCCACTGCCACACAGGCACCCATATCATTATCAATAACACAGATTGATTGGCGCAGGATTCTACTGAACTGGACACACACGGAGCGCGGCTACTTTAGCGTGTCATGTACCTACTTATCATTTGTCAGTGCTTTCAGTTATGGCTCCTGGCCATAGAAACCAACCAGGAATAGGGCTTGGCCGAAACTGGCCATCTTGAAGGCACTTATCCACTCAGCCATTCAGAGCAAAGGATTTGTGCTCTGGCAACTAATGTACTTGAAGCAGTCAGATGCTTATGGGCTGCAATGTCTACACCCCTGGTATGAAAATGCATTCTGATGTTGTTCTTTGGTCAGCAAGCACACATGCACAGGTAATCAGTGTCACTGCCCGGCACCTGTTCTACAGGCCTCTGCTAGTCAATACCGACCACTGACAGTACCCACTGATGGCCAGTAACCAGGGATACAACCTCACAGTCAGGCCACTTTCCTGGGTACATACTGGAGCAATCAGAGTCCAATGCAACTATCAAGCCAGTCACAATGTCACCGTTGATCAGGTTGGCAGTTCACTCAGTCAGAGAGATGCCTAGTTCAGATGATAAACCCAACTCAGTAGATCATAGAACAGAATGTGTGACGTCCAAGAGGAGCTCTGTGTGTGTCATTTAAGCCCACTCTTGTTTTAAAAATCACTGGAAATATACATGTAAGTGTTGGTGAACGTCAATCACTGCAGCATAGAAGAGAAATAAGATTCTCCCCCGCCCCCCCCCCCCCCCACCTTAGTTTCTTGATCACTTTTTTACAGCTTTCAGTGACTGAGGTATGCCTTCACTTGTGCATGCATATGAGTGTCAGAGAAACCGGAAACGAAGTAGCCATGCCACTCACAGTGCATTCGCTGGCATGGTTTCAACAAGGATTGCTCAATGCCCTCCCTCTCATGTTGCAGAGCAAGTGCAGAATGTCAGCCAATATCAGATAACTACACTCTACAGGGTATGATGCCAAGAGCCAAGTGCAGAAAGCACTATGAATAAGGAGTCGGGATGACAGCTGCTGAGCAATACTGCGTTTTACAGGCAACTCAATGCTAATCATCTGCAGCCTCTAGCCAGGCAACTGACTTTGCAATTACAGAATTCTTGCTACCTCTCTGCTTGGCAATTACTGTCACAGACCCCCAACAGAGTCAGGTTTCCAAATTGTCCATTCCACAGCTGGCATGCTATACTTGATACCATGAGTGACAAAGCTGGCTCAATGCCTGAGGGTTATCGGGATCAGCAGGCACACACAGAAACAGAAAATGGTAGCAGACAAGCCCATGGTCCGCAGATGGGGTTTTGCACAATTCATGGATCAGGCTTCTTACCCCTGGATAAATCAAACCCCTGTGTTTTCTTCCAAATGCAGGAAGTGGGGCAAAACGACCTGGGTCTTTACTAGCCTAATCACACAGAACACCGGAAACACTTATCTCCACATATGTTTTGCCAGAGAAATGCAAGACTGGTGCACAAAACACGATCGCGCTTATGACGCTGTGCAACACATAAGCAGCACATGGTGATAATTTGGCCGTGGCTATTGATGGGCAAGAAAAGATGTAATTTCCGACGAAAGCCAGTTTGAAGAGAATGCTCAAGCATCCTGTCAGTTTACAGGTGTGCAATCATCACAAACTTCAAATATCAGGAAACAGCTACAGCCGGGTCAAGTGGAAAAAGCACCAGGCTTCAAGGAAAGGTGTCCCCAGTGCCCTAAGCCTCTAAAACCATTGTCTGGTTTAAAAAAACCAATGAGTCCCACAGAGCAATTATCTCTGGTAGAATAAGGATGGCAGAACGGATTTGTTGAACACTTAAAATACGGCGCTCCACACGTTCTGAACAAGGCAAGATTCCTCTGCTGAGCAGTACTATAGTCATGGAGAGCTGACTATGACTGAATGCATCATCCCTGTACAGTTGGGTCAGGATATCACTGCAATGTACTGACTGGTGCTTTGGTTTGTTACAGCCCACTTAGGTTGTAGAGTTATACTCCACCTCAAACACAAGGCTGGCATGAAACTCAGTAGTGTACAATGACGGTTGAAAAGAGCATGATGCGGGATACAACTGGGATGGAACGTTGACTACGCTAATCCAACATTGACAGGTGATACTGGCAAGACTCTACCCTGTAGGGGTGAGTACAGCTGGACATACCACTTCCAGAAGTCAGTCTCTAGCAAGTATGTATACATCGACAGCTAGGCACACTGAATCTCAGAATGGACCCTTCAGCATTGGTGAGAACTAGACCTGGTCTAGTGAGAAGGCATTCTACTGCCTGCAATTCTGGTGAAGTAAAATAAAGTAACAACAACAACGACAACAACCCTACAGTACACATGTGCATCGACGTTAGATACACTGAATGTCGAAAGAGATTTAGAGATGGTGGCAGTAATTCCCTGGACAATAGCAATGCCTGAAGCCGGCACAGAGCACGGAATGATATGCTGAAAACCAAGTGGACAGAGGAATGTTTCTAAACCTCGACCGTAGTCACTAGCTCCATGTTCCGTTCGCTACTGGCGCACGCCGATGGACATTGGCGCATACGAGCTACATGTGGCTGCCGCCACTACCAGAGCCTGGCAGCTGCTTTTTGACTATTAGAACAGACAAGTCAAGCCTTAGCGGCACAGTGGCAACAACTCTGAAAACAAACAACTGCCTTAGGTATCGCCACATCTTACGAACATGACACGTGCTAATGTTACAATCCTTATTACCAAGTATTGTGTCTGTACAATCCAGTGCTAGCATCAACTGAGATAGAAACTCACTCCATACAATGATGGCAGGCTCATTCTTTTCATCATTGCCTACGTGCTGTGGCATCATTCATGATCCACAGCAAGAAGGCAGCAATGCCCTGTACCTATGGTGAAGTAAAAATTAATAAAGGTAACATAACATTGAAGGCTGTGCAATCCAGCGGTTACGGTATGGATTTACAGCTCTGCTAACCCTGTTCGGCTAGAACTCCCTTCTCTCTTACCACCACTCCAGTTTGGGATGTACAAATTTGATCCACTTTGACAACAAGCCTAAAACCTCAAGCACACGTAGCCAAGAAAATCTTTCCCAACCACCTGCCCAAACATGTATCCACCTTGACTACCTAGCCATGCGCAGGGACTCCATTAGCACAAATCGAAGCCGATTGCCTCATGTAGGGTATTTATTGTGTGTGTGGGGGGGGGGGGGGGATTATAAGTCATATCATAAAGAAGCCTCCACAGGGTACAAGAGGTTCAGGTAACGACTGATGACCTATAAAGGAATGCAATTGTACATGGCTGGGCCAATGCGCGACTGCAACCCCAAGGTAATGGAAACAACTGCTGCTTGCAGCCACTAGGAGAGTGCTATCTGCCCAGGTCACTCAACAACTTGCCTTTGACGACGTTTATACAATTCTCAGGCACATACACTTTTGAATTAGGCTATCAGTCTGCAGGCTGGATATCTATATCACACAATGCTCACACAAGAACGTTGTACCGCAGAATGCTGGATTCTTTGCAGAGCTCATTACCCACAACGACAAGCAAAGCAAAGTCCTCTTCTCCGACTGAGTAGATATTTTGAGCCTGGTCAAAGGAAATGGCTTTTTCTGATCCCGATATGCCATGGAGGAGAAAGCAACTTTACAAGATGATTTGCCTCTCCTAAGAGAAGTTTTGAGTTATAATTTCAGCAATGTGGATGGAGAGAAAGTGTGAGAGAGAGAGAGAGAGAGAGAGAGAGAGAGAGAGAGAGAGAGAGAGAGAGAGAGAGAGAGAGAGAGAGAGAGAGAGAGAGAGAGAGAGAGAGAGAGAGAGAGGGAGGGAGCGAGAGAGAGAGAGAGAGAGAGAGAGAGAGAGAGAGAGAGAGAGAGAGAGAGAGAGAGAGAGAGAGAGAGAGAGAGAGAGAGAGAGAGAGAGAGAGAGAGAGACAGAGAGAGAGAGACAGAGAGACAGAAGTGGTCAAGATATGGAGTGGGAAGAGGCCCTGTACCACTCAAACAGAGAACTACAAATAGCCATTATTGCCAAGCCTCTCTGAACACTACCAGGGTATCTGAATTTGCCACCTCATTATACCAGATGATTGCCGAAGATTGCTTCCTTTATCCTTTGAATACCAAATTGGAACCTTTTAACGGCTACGGGAAGTGAATTTGAGAACGCTCGAATACTGGATCGACAGCAAGATATACAGGTTTCCTGGTTTTCAGACAGCTCAGTCACAACAACTCAGTGTAAGGAGGCGAACAGCTGGAATGGTCACAACACCACAATCATGCTCACACCTAATTTAAATGCCACTGCCAACACTGCCAACACTGCCAGCACACATGAAACGGTCACAATGAGAGTGCAGCACAGCACTGCATGCAACAGCGGAATCGGAACACGACTGATGCTCACTAGACGAGCACATGTTCGGTGTGGTCTCCCATACCAGCTTCTTTGCAGCAGCAAAGCACAGCACAAATCATCAACAGGCTCTATGCTAGAGACTAGATTCATACGGTTAACTCACGTCTCTGTTGGTGCTGAGATGAATATTTCTTATCGGGTAATGGCGACGGCGGCAGCTGTTCAGTGGGGCTGTCCGTCGTCCCCTGTGGATTATCCTGTTCCATATAGACCTTTGATGTGCTTTTTCTTGTTTCTCCGAAGGCAACCGGCACATCTGCTGGGTATCGAGACTGCCCCATGGGCCTGCTTGGACATTGGATGAAGCCTGAGCGATCACACACAGGGTCGCCATGGTAGGGGAAGACACAAACAAGCAGAACACAATAAACGTCAAGGTCCATGAAGCAAAATTCCATCAAGACAGGTGTGTCCTGCTACAGCATACTGGTTATAGGTTGGGGACCGGCGTTTATCTTGCATGGTGTATAAGATGAGAACCAACTCCACATTCTCTCGATCCGCAAGGCAAATGGCTTCTAATTTATCTAATTGGGAGAAGATAGCCTGAGTCTCCTTCAAGCTAGCTGGGTGTGTGAGCAAGTGGTTCAGGATTCAATGGTGACTCATTCAAATATCCCCCTATTCATTCCGTGCACACATGCTTGCATGATGTGCAACACACAGCAGCAAGCCCTCCAGTCTATGCCATTATCACAGGCCAACAAGGCTGAATAGCCCCCACTTGACCCACAAGTCAGACCACCTAGATAGGCTGGGAGAGGTAACACTTCCGTTGCAGGAGGGCCCCATCACCACTTCCTGGTTGTGGCGATGCCCCTAGCCCTGTAATGCGCCGGGTGATTTTACACAAAGGCAAGCTGGTAGTGTGGTATGGCCATAAGGGCAAGGTAGAGATGGCACCATACTGCACCATGCTCTTTCATCATTAGGATAACAATCTTTAAGGATGCCCTCTGGTGATAACTGGAGCAGAGTGAAGGGAGTGAATGACGTCAGCAGTAGCAATACCTAATACAATAGCCATGAGTTTGATAATTGAACACACTAAGACATACACACAAAGACATACACACTAAGACATACACATGTACACGCGTGCATGAGAAGTAGGTCCAGGACTTGTTGCAGGATCACCAGGAACACAAACCACCTCACCAACATTATCTGTAAACACGGACAAGTTCTCAAAGCACCCAGTAGAATGACTTTCAAGGGCAATGACAGGTGCTACGCAAGAAGGCCGGCAAGGAACAAATCAGGAAAGTGCGAGGGAAAGAGAAAGTGATGACACTCTTCTCCCGGTCTATTCCAGGCTGACTGCAGCATTCATCTCCTTATCGGAAAACTGGAAATAGTCCCACTCACCATTGCATGTACTAATATCCATACAGGTGGTGTACTAACCTGATTTGTAATGAGCAGTTCCGGAAATAGATACTGCTTACTTTCACTGCTGGGTCTAGTACAAGTATACCACTACAAAAAATGAGCCCCAGTCGTTAAACAGGTGCATATAGTAGATCTCCAGTTTGAAACACTGAGTCTCTACATCTCCAGTTTGAAACACTGAGTCTCTGAATGGACTCTACAGTAGTAAAGCACACAGTAGCCAGAGCACTTGAAGCATGTTAGAAGTTAGTGCTATCTGCTTGGTCTGCTACTGTACCCATTGCACTGCACTCCACAGGTCAGCTCAGTGCTCAGTGGTACTGCCAGGTAGGCCAGTAAAGTAAGCTATGTCGATGTGCTGGCCGAGGCTTTTTGCAACTTCCTGGACTAGGTTAGAGTCCTGCTCTGCGACTTGAGGGGCTCCTGCGATATCAATGCATTGCCATCCAGGGAAATATCCTCACATTGCCATCCAGGGCAGTATCAGTGCTACCGCACTACGCTACGATTAGGGATTGTTGTCAAAAGGTCTCACGATTGAGTAGTGATGCTTCACAATATCTGCCTACACCCATTGGAAGGTCAACCTCACTGACCATACACATAGACTCCCTCGATCTAGGCTACGGCCTGCGAGGAATCCTCAAAATACAAAAAACAATTACAAAAACATGCAGACACCGTGCTAGTACATGTACATGCTACCCGAAGCACGAAAAACACAGGTACGTGGCCCGGAGAGGGAGAGGGGTGCATAAAAACACAGGTACGTGGCCCGGAGAGGGGTGCATAAAAACACAGGTACGTGGCCCGGAGAGGGAGAGGGGTGCATAAAAACACAGGTACGTGGCCCGGAGAGGGAGAGGGGTGCATAAAAACACAGGTACGTGGCCCGGAGAGGGGTGCATAAAAACACAGGTACGTGGCCCGGAGAGGGGTGCATAAAAACACAGGTACGTGGCCCGGAGAGGGAGAGGGGTGCATAAAAACACAGGTACGTGGCCCGGAGAGGGGTGCATAAAAACACAGGTACGTGGCCCGGAGAGGGGTGCATAAAAACACAGGTACGTGGCCCGGAGAGGGGTGCATAAAAACACAGGTACGTGGCCCGGAGAGGGAGAGGGGTGCATAAAAACACAGGTACGTGGCCCGGAGAGGGAGAGGGGTGCATAAAAACACAGGTACGTGGCCCGGAGAGGGAGAGGGGTGCATAAAAACACAGGTACGTGGCCCGGAGAGGGAGAGGGGTGCATAAAAACACAGGTACGTGGCCCGGAGAGGGAGAGGGGTGCATAAAAACACAGGTACGTGGCCCGGAGAGGGAGAGGGGTGCATAAAAACACAGGTACGTGGCCCGGAGAGGGAGAGGGGGTGCATATACAAGGACATAGTACCCAAACGAATTAGAGCAGAAATACCAACGAAACATTTCAACAGGTAAAACCCAGTCCCGAACGATTGTGTTGGAAGAGGAGGGGTTCAACGCATCCAACAAGATCAGAAATTGTATTCGAAAAACAGCCTCTGCCCAAGATTTTCAAGCACCGTCTTTAACCTGATTAACCATCATCCCCCCCCCCCCCCCCGACCCGCAGCAGATATTCACCATGCCATGAATGTGTGTTGGGCTACAGGTGTAGTGCTACAGCAGTACCCGCACCTTTTCCACCATAGCGATATACAGTGTAGCTCCACTGACAGACGTACAAATTCACAAATGCACGGACTTAAAGTGGCTGCAAAAAACGTCATGTTGGGCGACCTGATCATCACCCTACCCCACCCCCACCCTCGACAGGTAGAACAGCTACAGCCTTGACACACTAGCTTGATACCTGGATAGTTTCAGTGAAAGGCAATTACAGGAACTGCCAATACTGTACCACTCGCAAGCCATATCTTGAACAACCTCCTTCCAACTTGTCAGACAACCCAAGGCAGCACTGAGGAGATGGAATGTGCAATTTCGATATCTAAAGTGATGCAACATCACGATTTCTTACCACAGTCACAGTAACCGTGTCAATAACAATTATACAGACCAGCAGGAGTTGACTCCACTCACGGCCCCAGCCTGAGAACACGTTTCGTGGCACGTACTGAGAACGTTTCGTGGCAAGTACTGTATGAGTTTGGCAAAAACCAGTCCGCTAAACCAGAAGCCAGTACCATTCTCACGAATTGGAACATGTCGAGTAGATATCATCCGCTGACAGATCAGGAGGGAACGAAATCATTCCGTTGCAAAGAAAACACTTATCGTCTATGCTGGATTCCACCTGGGCCTCGACACAGTGAAGTAACCGAATGCCACATGACACGGTGACAAAGGTTCTTCCTCTCACATCCTAAGGTCTCCATCAACACCAGACTTTCAAAGTGAGTGAGGGAACACAACTGATAAAATCTAGCTAAGGATGTGACACTACCAGAACGAAACACAACACTTAGGTAACTGGCGTGTTTAGCAGATGGGGTCAAGACAACATTGTTACACTTGTGGTTATCATGATTACTTTTGACAGATATGCCTGGACACCCTATAGGCTATACTGATACACAGGTACATGAAAATCACATTAAATCACAACCAAACGTAAAGAAACAATAGAAGCACTTTTTCGGTTTCAGCAGCAATCCGCCTCCACCTCTCGGAAAATAGATAAATATCACAGGTTGGATTACAGAGCGGGTCAAGAACCACCTTTCCGGTTCTGCGGAGCCCCCCTCCCCCCTCCTCCCAAATTAGGCGTCGATACGGCTCCTAAACGGTGGGGAGGATAGATAAGATCCACCAACCATAGGCCAAAGGCCAAACTTGTACCAGTTGTAAATCAAGACTCTGCTGGAGACAGAATCAGAAACTCCCACTGCTAGAACGAATATCTCGATAGTTCCAATATCTTTAGAAGTACCGCAACAAATGTAACCAGAGATATGCCTTCAACCCCACTGTCTCCTCTCTTTTCCCTGTCCCACTCTCCCTACTCCCTACTCCCTCTCACTCACTCTCTTTCTCTCTCTCTCTCTCCCTCTCTCTCTCTCTCTCTCTCTCTCTCTCTCTCTCTCTCTCTCTCTCTCTCTCTCTCTCTCTCTCTCTCTCTCTCTCTCTTTATCTCTCTCTCTCTCTCTCTCTCTCTCTCCCTGTGTCTCTTTCCATGCCTCTCTCCCACTCTCTGTATTTGTCTGTTTGCCTGCCCGTTTGCCTGCTTGTCTGTCTGTCTGCTTATCTGTCTGCCTGTCTGTCTCTCTTTCTGTCTGTCTGTCTTATCACGCTGAAGAAGACAATCGTCGAAATGTTAAAATGTATCAATTAGTCTAGTCTTGCTCCTGTTGAGTGGTCTGCCTATCCTCCGGTGCATTGTCTGTCAGTCTATCTTCACCTGTCTCTTGTTCGTCTATCTGTCACTGTATTTGTTCAGCTTGCTATTATTCCTATTATCAACACCTCTAAAACGACTAATCGAATAGAGAAAGGGCTCCAGTTAGTAAGAGTAACATATTAGAAATAAACATGTACAGTTTTAACACTAATGATTCACAACAGCCGAATTCAAAGTGAAGGAAAGGAGGAGGGGAGGGAGGGAGGGTGATGAAGGCCTTCCAGTGTGAGAAAAATTTAACTTACTGCACAAGCACAGTTGGGCCTTTGCGTTGGCACGCTGGTACGGCTTGTTACATTGCTCCACAAAGAACGTAGCAACTCGCTTCGTTTCAACGTCAGCCAATGAGAATCAGCCCTGGTTGCTAGTGGCAACTAGTGCAGTGGGAAAGGAAATTTGCGCTACAGCGTGGCTATATTTTGGTTTGCTAGTTTGGCAGGGGACAGCAGTGTGCTGGGTATGGTGCCTGAGATTGGTCTTTACAGCACTACCCTAGTATTCGGTGACTTCTAACTTTGAACTCGGATGTTGA